CGTATCAACTTGACCCCCAATTCTTGGTGTTCTGTTTTGTTTTTAGCTTTCCGTGGACATCCTCCCCCTTTGTTGGTTGCAACTAACAGACAAGACACAGGTAACATTTCTGGAGAGTGAAGGTGTCACTGTGTAAGATGGCCACATGGCCTGTATTAAGAAGAGCTGTCATCTATTTCAGTGGTTCTTAACCTTTGTTACTCAGTTGTTTTTGAACTGCAACTCCCAGAAACCTCAGCCAGCAGAGCTGATGGTGAAGGCTTCTGGGAGTTGCAGTCCAAAAACATCTGAGTAACAAAGGTTAAGAACGAGTGATCTATTTGAAGAGATGGCCAGAGGACAAGCCTTCTTTTAAAGATGTCCTCCATATGCAGGGCTGTCTTGTCCAACTGTGATTTAAAGAGTTGGGGGTGGGGTGTCGCATAAGGAGTGAGATCAGGAGCTTTGAAGTTATACATCCATTCTGAGCATCTGGACAGCAGACTCTTATTTATTTATTCAATTTATATGCCGCCTGGACAGCAGACTAAGCAGATATATGAGTCAGCTGGACAGTCTTCATGCCGTTGAATGACATAGATTGGGATCCTGCTTAAAATCATTTCTAATTTTGTCTTTGGACATACAAATTGGTGTATGTATATGCAGATCAGTGCTATCTTTTGTTCTCCTTTTGATGCATGTAATGTATAAGTGGTCATTGTACATACTGATTTAAAATATTTTTAACCCACGTTTCTTCTAAAAAGGATCCAAGGGAGCTTTTATAATTAAAAAAACAATATTTAAAAGCTAAAACCAGTAAGTATACAATTTTTTAAAAAATTCAAGAAATATTATATTAAAAACGATCAGTAGGATCAACACCAAAGATGCATTTCAAAGCAACAACAATCCATTAAAAAACCGTCCTGGACAACCAATCATTAAGGGAAAGCCTGCCTGAGAGAAAGGTCTTCACCTGCTTGCGGAAGGACAGCAAAGATGGGGCCAGCCTAGCCTCCTGTGGGAGGGAGTTCCAGAGTCTGGGAGCAGTGACAGAGAAGGCCCTCTCCTGTGTTCTCATCAAATGGACCTGTGAAGGTAGTGGGACTGAGAGAAAGGCCTCTATTGATTATCTATACAAGACAGGTTCATAAAGAGAGATGTGATCCTTAAGATAGCTTGGGCCAAAGCTGTTTAGTGTTTTATAGGGGTCTCAAACATGTGGCCAGGGGCCATTTGCAGCCCACCGGGTGATAGTTTGAGACCCCCCCTTGTCTGCCCCCCCTAAATTGCCCACGCATCCTCTGCTGTCAAGAGTCAAAAAAGCATCGCCTTGCTCGCTGGCTCTCTCCCAAGACAGCTTGTCTGCTGGCTGGCTGGCTGGAGGGTGCAAGAGGCGCTGTCTTGAGGGAGAGCTGGTGAGTGAGGTGCGCTGCCAGCCCTTTTCCCCGAGCGCCTGAGCCGGTGCCGAGTGGAGCTCACTCCTGGCCCATCCTCTAAGAGCTCCTCTAAGCCGCCAACAGCAGCTGCCACCTGCGCCGCCTCTTCCAGGGAAGTGGCTCTCTGGCTCTCTTTCTCTCTCGGCACCCCCAGCACCAGCCCAGCCAGCAGCCACCTCAGTGCCCGGCGGTGCTTCCTCCTCCTCCTCCTCCTCTTTATCCTGCTTCAGCCGCCTCAGCTCTGGAGGCTGCCTGGGCTCGCCTTGCAAAGTTTGCTCCTCTGTCGTGGTGGGCATAGCTGCTGCTGCCTCTGTCGTGGTGGGCGTAGCTGCTGCTGCATGTGACTTTTTTTGAGGGGGGACCCTCAAAGGAAGGTTGCTGGACCTCCGTGTGTGTGTTTGTGTACGTGCACACGCATGCACCTGTGGGGGCCCCACCCCATTCTGTTTAATTTCATGGGTACCAGTGGGGGCTTTTCTCCTTTAGCAAGGCGAATTCTGTGAAGTTTTTTTTAAATTTTATGTCGTGCCCTACCCCCCGCTAGTTTTTCTCCTTTAGCAAGGCAAATTCTGTGAAGTTTTTTAAAAATTTTATGTCGTGCCCTACTTCCCGCTAGGTGGTTGCCAGCGCTCCCTCCTCCGCTTCTTCATTTTGCTGCTTCTGGTGGTGGTGGTAGTGAAGAAGGAGCCGGAGGGGGTCGTGGCCGGCGACAAGGGCTCACGCGCCCCTCCTCCTCCTCCTCCTCGGAGCCCCAGCCAGGCTAAGGAAATTCCTGGGTGGCTTCCTCGGGCTCTTGCTCCGATATCTGATGCGGCCCAGCCTCCAGCGGGCCCCAGGTAAACTGAGTTTGAGACCCCTGATTTAGACTTTCTAACTCTGCCACCACTCCAGTTACTTCAAAATAAAAGCCAGCTCTGCTGCATTTTTGGTTGACCTGCTCATTCTATTTGGGGTGTTTCTGCCCCAGATGTCTGCCCCAACAACCTTTAAAAGACCTGCGTTGATGACACTATTGCTTAGAATCAGCCTTGCTGCACTTTGAAAGGTGTTCCAAAAATGATATTTCTTTGCCACAGCTCAGCACTGGAAATAAAATCTGTATGTTTGAACCAAAGCTGGTCTCTACATGGTGTTCATTTTGCTCCTTCTCTCTGAATTTCCATCAAGTAACGTCCTCCCCTATTCCCAGGGAAGCTTTTTCTTATCAAGCATATATTTATTTCTTTGAACAAAACAGTGACTGAAAGATTTTGAATGTACAAGTATGTGTATAAATACACAGATATTCAGAAGGAGTACCACGAATGCAAAAGTCCTTTTGCAGTCTCTGATTCTCTCTGTTACCAAAAACTGTTCCTGGGATTTGAGGAGGGAGCAGTGTTCACAAACACATTTTTGTCTACTAGAAGTTGTGGATGGGTCTCAAACATACTCCCTCACTAGACAGTCTTGCTGCGTCTTTCAAAGGAGAAACAGATGAAACAATAGATGAGAATATCCAGAAGGTTAATCATGTAAGTACTGTAGTTTATGGCAGCAAAGCCAATAAAACAAGACTCATGGCACGTTATAAGACTACCAAGTTTTACTTGACATAATATTTTGTAGACTGGAGTCAATTAAAGTCCATGAAAGATTATGCTTAAGAAGATTTACTAATCTTTAAGGTGTTCTCAGACCCCTCTGTAGATTTTGCTCTGCAAGAATAGCTGGAGCTTTTAAACCTTTGCAATATGAAGTGTTAACATCAGTGAGTTAGAGGCAGTGAAAAGTTGGGTCTACTGAAAGGAGTGACACCAGCCATTTATGACAACTGATTTTTGTGCAGTTGACAATGGATGGTCATCAGGATTGAACCCACTGAACTGAACACTCCCATCTTATGGAGCATCTGCTTGCTGCCTCAAAGTGTTAGCAGCTTTGGTCAGTCTTGTATTTTTGTTGTTGTTTAGTCGTTTAGTTGTGTCCGACTCTTTGTACTGTCTTAAGAGGAAATCCCATATCAGCAGGTCACATGGAAGACAAAGCATGCTTGCTGTCCAACTTGATTAGGAGCATTTTGAGCTACATCATTATATAAGAATCAAGGACAGACCTGGTCTATTCAGTTACTTTTGATGTTCCTTCCAAGACAAATGTTCTTCTGTATGCCAGATTTTTGTAAATAGTAACTGAAGTCAGCTCTGTGAAGCACTGCTTCTTGTATTCAAAAGCCAAGTTGAATGGCTCCACACGATCTACTTAGTAGGGTTGCCAGATCAATAGAAACCCACTACTGAGATTTCAAGACCAAAACCTGAGATCAAGACATGGTCCCCTGTGATGCCACAGAGGTGGGGCAGCCAAAGATTAGGGAGGTCAGGACTACTTCTGAAACAGCTGATTCTTGAAATAAGTACCAGGCACTCCACTTGGGGTGAACTCATGTTAGAATAAACAGTGTTTATTGTATGTATGGTCCAGTTTGGCCCCTTAGTGTGCATGTTTGAACGAATACAGCCAAAGCATGCCCTTCAAAGGTACCAGGTGACCAGAACAGAGAATAGCAATGTTGCTTTTTCATACTACACCTCTGAGAATTTCCTAGATTCTGAAAGGGATAGTCAAAACATAATAAAGAGAACTTTGTCAAGTTCTGATTTCAGCTTAGCCCCTTCATGTTATCTTCAGGATGCCATATTTTTCCGTGTATAAAATGACACTTTTTCCTAAAATAATTCAAGGAAAAATTGAGGGTCATTTTATACTCGGAAGTAAGGAGGGCGGAGGGACCAAAGTGCTTTGATCCCTGTTTCCCCCTCCAGGTTTTGCAAAGAAAATGGAGGGGAAAAGCGATTTCTGCTTCCCCCCTCCATTTTCGTTGCAAAAAGCAGCTTTCCCCCTCCAGGGCCAAGCCCTCCATTTTCCACTTTCTTGCAAAGAAAGAAATTTTGATTTAGAAACGTGGGGGGAGCGTTTTATACATGATGTCGTCTTATACATGGAAAAAAACAGTAATGTGCAAATATATGTGCATCGATCCTTTGTTGCTGCATTCCTCAGATTCAATGGAGCCAAATATACGAATCTCCATGGAGCACTGCAAAAGAGCATGTGGGAAGCATGAGTTACATCTAACTTCCTTTGCAGTTTTGTACTAATCTACAATCCATACAGAGGCCCAGCATCCTGCAGTGCTGGATATGTTGCTACTTGCAAAAGTGCAGCAACACTGTAAAGGTTAGGGCAGGCTCTCCCTAGTGATGGGATCACACCTCCTATCAATAGTTATGCAATGTGATGGTCCTTGGAGTTCAGGATGCAATACAAGGAAAGGCTGGACTAGGGTACTACAGTTCCCATGTTCCAGCCATCTATTTTTTACAAACCAGATGTTAGAAAGCTAGGCCCCTGATTCTACTATATATTCCAAAATTCTGTCAGCTGTTTTAAAAATTGGAGCATTTTCTTATAAACAGATTTTCTGTAAATTTTGATCTGTTTGTGCACAGCATAAAGGAACAGGCTGGAAACACACAAGCCAATGTTTGACATCTAGATGCTCAAAATACTGTGCGATAAAGGAACACAAAGTAAAAAACTGAATGTGTGGTTTTATTATATTTAAGGTTCTATTCTCTATGGAGCTTAAATATGTCTATCACATAGTTAACAGTAATTGTCATTTTACATGTTCGATACACAGTACAGGACTAAAAAAAAATGAGGCAAGGGAGTGCTAGGAAAAAAATTAAGTTTCCTCAAAGTAAGTAACTGATACTGTAGGACCATTTTAAAAAGCTTCAACGAAGGGACTCCGAGAGGTCTCTTGTCAGAAGACCAAAAACGTATTCCCTATATTAAAGAATCAAGAACAACTGGCACATCTTTAATATATTTAAGATTTGATGCAAGATTAAAAAACACAACTAATAATTTTAATGTCCTGTTTCAAATTAATAAATATAATATAAAAATATACACCACTTCATGAGAGGATGGATGGACTGAGTTTAAGAGAGTTAAATTTCACTTTCAAATGTATGCAGATGCGTCTTTAAAGAAAGGATTTCTGTGTAGGTTCGGCTGGTCTTCCGGAAGAAGTCCAAACTGGTAAGCAGCTCGATATCACGTACTCGGGCAGTGTGCATTTTCAAGAGGTCTTCAATCCAGCGGAATTCATCCTCAGCATAGTTCTGAAATTGAAAGGCAACTTTACTGAGATGACAGACTCCCACTTTTTAAAAGGGTGTTACAGTATATCCAGAATAATCTATTTAAACGTTGGCCTTTGTGGAGAAGATCTGTTGTTTGTTAAGAACAACTTGCAGAAGGGTTGATTTAAAATACTTTGACTCCTGTATGGAGACACCGGGGTCTCAGGGTAGGTTACTTTCTGATGCCTTCCTCTGGCCAACCACCAAAATTGAGGTGCCCCTGTGAAAACAACTGAGGCCTTTTCAGTTCCTCTTACAGAACACCCTTTCCAGAGGTGCTCATCCGGCACCTACATTGTGAATGTTTGGGAACTGGGGAAAATTCCTTTTTAGACTACAACTCTCAGAACCTCACCACCAGTACAGCCATGTGCGTTGGGACAGTTTGAGAACTGTAACCTAAAACACAACTCTTCCAAGCACAATGATTTTTTTCAGTAACAGGGAAACATCCTTTAATTTTTCCAGACCTTCCCATTTTTATCTTTTGGGCCTTTTTTTAAAAAATGCAATGTTTTTAATCTTGATTAAGTATTTGTATTTGATATTTATAAGCCATGCAGTCTGAAAAGACTGAAAACTGCCAATGAAGAAAAACATAACCATAAAATTCAATAAGGCCACACTCCTAAATGTTCTTCAACTGTTCTTCAGCACTGAAGAACTGAATTGTTTAGAGTATTTGCCACTGTTCTGTATCAATATACCACAAAAGTAATAGGAGGAAGCTGCAACAGAAAAATGACTGGAGGACTCTTGGTGGCAGCTCCCTCACAGAGACACGGGGAATGGAGGTAGAATCTGACCCTGCCAGGCCCTCCAGGAGAAAACAGCTTGATCCACTGCCCCAGAAAACCGGGATGACTCAGAGTGGGGGAGCAGAGAATCCAATGACTCCAAGGTCAACCATAGTAATAGATAATAATGTGGAGCCAGCAACAGAATGAAAGTATCCCACATCAAGAATAAATACTACTAGCCCAGCTAACCCCAAACTGCTGGATATAGCAACCATATCAGGTGATGGTGCTCCTTTCATCGCATTGCACCTGTCAGAACTCCTCCCATACAATCTGAATTGTTTACAAGCATGCTTTTGTCATATTACCTCTTTGCACCCCTCAACGTGGGCTGTGTGTGCCTTACAGACTGCTTGTTTCCAATCTCTGCCTATTCTTTGCACATCCTTTAAAACTCTGTTTATGAGTTTAAATCTGGGTTTCCCTTGACTGCTGGATCCTCATCCTTGCTAACTTTAAATGCGACACTCCACAAACCCACTGAAATTAAACTTCATTAAATATTCCATTTAATTAAATATTATGTTTCATTTCCTATAGAATGATTGAAAACCACCTCTGAAAACCATATCCTTTAATTTTGGTTAGCAGTAACAGCAATACAAATTGCAAGTCTATCAGTTAAACTTTTCCTCTGAGATAAATAAGTAGGGCTTGGCTAGACAGCTAAACTGGAGCCACCTGAGGAGTTGCTTAAGGCTACATAAAGGTGGCATATGCCTTGAGGTGATCCTTGCATCCAAATTCCATATGTATCCCAGGTGACTCTATTTGGCCAACCTCCCTTTAAAGGGAAAGGAAAAACAAAGAAAATAAAGATCCCCCTCCTTGCCACCTCGTCCTTCCAGAAGGAAGCTTTCAATTTTTCTCAAAAAAGGCATAGCGTATCAGTGTTGCCATAAATAGGCTTTTTAAAAGGGTTGCTTCCTCCCTCTCCTACAGAAGAGCAGAGGAAGTTTTCAGTTGCCCAAAATCAAAATTACGTGGCTAAGCAGTCTTAAACCATTTAACAATATTGGGAGATTCAAAGCAGTAAGCCATTCACTTTTGTTCAATCCTAGTGATTGCACATTGAACCCCTCCCCCAAAATCTCCTACAGAAGAGCAGAGGAAGTTTTCAAAACAAACAAACAAATAAATAAAGCCATCCTACCCACACCTAAAAAAGAGTAGCCCCTGACATGGAGCTAGAAAGGAATGGGTAGAAACACAATGGAAACATTCGCGAAGGCTTTCACGGCCGGGATCTAATGGTTGTTGTGGGTTTTTCAGGCTCTTTGGCCATGTTCTGAAGGTTGTTCTTCCTAACGTTTCGCCAGTCTCTGTGGCCGGCATCTTCAGAGGACAGCACTGTCCCAACAGAGCCAACAGGACAGTGTTTTCCACTACACCCACAGGCAGCAGACTAGGTTAGGCATTATGAGGAAACATTTTATAGGTACTGTAGCATCTGCTGTCTGGTGTGGCCATTTTGCTTTGCCTAAGAGGAGAGCTGCTCAGCAGAATGTGTTGGGTGTCCCTAAAACTCAATATAGTTGCTGTCTGTCCATTTAGAAAGTATACACAGCAGACAGTATATACATCTTAATTACTGCACTTTGGCAAATAAATTCACAGAGTCACTATGAACCATTTGGTCACCTATAGCTGTTACCTGTGCCCTTCATTTCTTGTTTGAAAGTAAAGAATACATTATACATTATAAAATTTCCATGCTATTTTGAATTCTCTTTTAGGCTTCCTAGCATATGGCTGTTCAAAAGCCTGAATTTCTGAAGCAAGATGGTATTATCTGCAACCTAAAACAGAGGCTGAAAATGGCTGTGGCTACTTTCCACTAGCCTTCATCTACTTCTATGCTCTCGGTCAATGAAAAGCAAGGCCTGGAGCAAATTATTACAAACAATAAAGGAGTGTGTGTATCTGTGTGATACATAACTGCTTAGTTTCTGATAAAGCACATAACATTCTTGAGAAGCTGGCATTTTCAGCAGAGGTGTGCCAAGGAGAAGACATTGCTTTATCCATTTCCTATTTTCTGTTTTCTGCTCAATATCATACTTCTCCTGTCCATAACATCAAGTAAGAAACTGCATGGGGAAACAGAGCTCAGTGATATTTTGAAAGGAAAAAACAGACAACGGAATAGTTAAGTGCCTGCTCTCTCCTGCCACTCAGCTCAAAATTGCAGCAGCCTACAACTAACATTCAGTCTGAAATAATTTATATGGGCTTCATCACACATGGATGCAACAAACACACTTAGATGATAAAGCCCAAGTAATTGCACTAACTTGCTTCCATACCTTCCTTCTCCCTGCTTTGGAAAGAGACTTTTTAAAACACTGAGAGTACTCTAGGGATCATTAACAGTGCTACTTACGTTGATTAATTATTATAAAGTAGCATTTCTCTAACTAAGTCCTGATGGATGTTGGTTTAAGTGGCTCAGCCAAACACCTAAAGCAGAGTGTAAATCTCTGGTTCCATCTTAAGTCAACAGACACAGATGGCAAAAAATAGCTGTCTGATTGACTGTTACAATGAACATCCTTCTGTAAATATACTCAGTAACAAGCATGACCTATAAAGAGAACATGTAAGAGATCCCAAAGTATTTATACCTTAAAGCTGTTGCATTCTATTTTAAATACATTTAATAGAGTTCTGGTCAGGTGGTGTTTACGATTGTGGCTAGCATCATTTACAGTTATGGTTAGTGTCCTTAACATAAAAAGCTGAAAGCTCTACTATATGCATATATGGCACTGAACTGCAGCTAGAAAGATACTCTGAAGACCATCTAGTCCAATCTCCAACCCAGTGCAGAATACAGATACAACAAAGGTGAAGAACCTGTGATTCTCTAGAAGCTGACCATACATGATCACTAAACATGTTCTATAGGGCTGATGGGAGTTAAAAATCCAGCAATGTGTGGAGAGCCACAGGCTTTTCACTCACCTAGCTCCCCAAGTCCAGCCCATGTTTAAATTACTTCAGGTTGGAGAAACTACCAGTATCTAATACTGTTCCAATGTCCGTCCAAAACTATCAACAGGAAATCTCTCCTAATAGTTAGATAAAATCTATTTCAATGCAAATTTGGCCATTTGGCTCTGATCCTGCCTTCTGAAGAAACAGAGAACATTTTTTTTTCTGAACATACCTTGGACCTTATTTTGATGGCTGATTTCCCCCTTTTTTTGGTCAATACTGATTTGTGATCTGTTTTAAGCTGCTCTAAGAACTTTGCAGAGCAAAGTGGAATTAAAACCTCAAGGAAATGTAAATTACAAGAGGGAACCTTGTATCATATGTGGTGGGCATGTAGAGAAGCAGAAAATTATTGTATACTAATACAGTGGTGCCTCGCTTAACGGGCAACCCGTTTAACAATGAAATCGCATACCGACGATGTTTTAAATGGGGGAAAATCGCTTTGCGATGATCGTACCGTTTCGCTTACTGATCATCACAAAGCGGTGATGTTTTAACAGCTGATCGGCAGTTTCAAAATGGCCACCCGCTGTTTTCTGGGACAGATTCCTCGCTTACCAGGCACCTAAAATGGCCACCGTATGGTGGATTTTCACTTAAAGTTGAGTCTGAAGCTCATAGGAACGCATTGAAGGGGTTTCAATGCATTCCTATGGGCTTTTAAATATCACATAGCAACGAAATCGCTTTGCAGTGATTTTTGCTGCACCGATTATCGTCGCTATGCAAGGCACCACTGTACATGGATGTTTGCAGAAAATTCTGCTATGTAATATACCATTTAAACCAGAATTGTTCTTATTAAATATGTTTCCAGAGAGTCTGGATAGGAGAGAGAGCCATTTGGTGATACATATAATAACTGCAGCCAGAGTACTATATGCATGGAAATGGAGAGAAAAAAACAAAATACCAAATCATGAAGAATTTGTGGAAAAGATTGAAATGGACATATTAACAGAAGCTTTGAAAGACAATTTAGTTCAAGAAACAACTGAAAAATGGGACCCTATATATAACTGGATCCATTCTATAACCTGAAAGCCAAATGTGATAATTTTAATACAAAATAGTCAAATACCTCTAGTTGGAATTATATGGGCAACTAACAGACACAAAAGTTTATAATGTAATCATATGTTTAAGTACAGATAATATGTGATAATGTATGGCATGATATATTCCCTGTTATCCCAATTTACTGTACTTCCCCTTACCCTTGAAATATTTTTTTAAAAAAACCTCAAGGAAAGAAGGTAATGTACTATTACAAAACCAGCCTGATTATTTATAATCTTTAATCCTATCTTTAATACCTACCAGTTTCTTCTCCTGACTGAGACTGGAAATTAAAATATTGGATGCTACATTCCTTATTGAGGCCTAGTAAGAAAAGCCTTTATCAAAAACATGAATAAAACTGTGATTTATGATTCTGAATTAAGAGTCTCATTTCGCATTAGTGCTCAAATACTGGAAATAGACTAAAGTTTCTTTTCCTCATTTTATTATTCTGCTTGCTTTGGTATCCAAGCCTTCTTTTTTCACCATGCGATCATGAAAATCACATCTGTTTCAGATTTGATTCTTACTAGTTTCCTTAGTCTCCCTTGTTGTCACTGAGACATTTATTTTGATATAATTTCTGTAGCTAGTCTTGAAAGCAGCCATATTATTAATCTAAAATATCCAGAGTGTTCTTCATCATTTTAGGACAAACTGGAGTGGAGGGAATCTCTATTAGATACCACATTTGGCTGGAACATTATATGTGGAGCATCATATTAGCCACCCAGAGTAGACTTCGGTCTGGATGGGCAGGGTATAAAGTTAATAAATAAAATAAATAAATAATATAGGTAAAGAACACAGCTGTAGAGAGTGCCTCTAAACAAGTCTGCTGCTAACGAGACAGCAGAAGACAGAGGTCCACCTACACTGCCCCACGAAATAGGGGCTGATTATTACCTATTGATTCTTTCTATGGATGTGAAAATCTTTTTGTCACAAATTTGTTGCATTCTCCATATCACACTGGCATATTCTTCCCACTTTGTTTCATACTGAGTTACAAGTGTTATGTTCCTGCTTTGAAAACCATAGGTTTTTTTGTAAATTTTACCGAATGTGCACATTTATTGATACATTTTGCCTCATGTGAAAATGTTAAAACAAATTATGCATCTCTCTCCTTAATTAAACCATGTTTGTCCATAAGTAAGATTTTACTACGATGAAATACAAATGCAAAATAGCAAGTTTGTGCATTTACCCCTTACTACAAGAACTTACCTGTTTCCATTTTTAAGCATGTACATAGTTTTCTGGACACTTTGTTTCTCTAAAATGTTCTCTAAGCCTCAAAGTTGTGTGAATTCTAAGGCATTATGTGTTCCTTTTTTTACAACATGTCAGGGCCTAAGTGGTACGAACACTACTTTATTAGAACTATCAACCCCAACAAAATTATTTTCCATCTCTAATTCATTCTGTACACATTTTGGAAATAGTCCCATCCCCACTCTAGACTCTATTCCCAAAAGAATGACTAAGTTATTTACCTTGGGAACTTTAAAATCCTGAGACCTGCATTGTCTGCACGGGAAACACAAAGACACTTGCTAAAAACCTGTTTTGCAATTACAGTGGTGCCTCACTTTACGATTGCCCCGCATTACGACGAAACTGCATTACGACAATCTTTTTGTGATCGCAATTGCTATTGCAAAACAATGGTCTAAATGGGGATTTTTCGCTTTGCTTTCCCTGCTTTGGGAACTGATTCTTCGCAAAACGACGATCTTAAAACAGCTGATTGGCGGTTTCAAAATGGCCGCTGGGTAAACAAAAGGACTCCCCGCTGTTTTCTGGGACAGATTCCTCGCAAGACAGGCAGCGAAAATGTCTGCCCTATGGAGGATCTTCGCTGGACGGTGAGTTTTGACCCCATTGGAACGCATTGAAGGGGTTTCAATGCGTTTCAATGGGTTTTTTTCGCTTTATAATGTTTTCACTTAACGCCAATTTTCCTGGAATGGATTATCACCGTTAAGCGAGGCACCACTGTACACAAAAGGCGTAACTTAGAGAGATGAATTGCCTCAAGTTAAGAAATCTCCACTGATATTATATGACATTATATGTTCCACACCAAGTCATGTGACTCAGTATGCAAAAAATAATGTCAACAGATTAAGTCTTAACTTGAAGTAATTTGGCTCAGTTATGCCTTTTGAATAGCAGAGCAACAGGATTTCAGCCATTATTTAAGTTTTTGTTCCTGTATATTGGTTTTACAAGAGAAAAGGCACCAGGAATCCGTTTGAACTTACAGTGCAGCTTTCATCATTGTCGGGCCTGTGTGGTATTATATATGACAGAACAGACAGTGGTCCATCACACTTGTCAGCCGGCTGTGTGAAATCTAAACAACTTGTTATAATACTGTAGTAGTGGGTTGGAACTGGGACTGAACTTCCTTCCACATACCTAGAAAAAAAGGAAGGGTTTTCAAAATCAACATTTTTTGAAAACTGAGCACATCTATTGGATACATGTTGGAAAAGATTTTTTTTAAAAAAAAGAATTGTTCCTTTTGTCAACTCCTGGAAGGACTTTTTGACTCATTATGAAGGAAGGAAAAATCATTACATAAAGCAAGGATTCAAAAGAGATGAAACAATATATGCTACTTTGTTTTTATTCCCCCACGTTTTAAAATATAAATCAATAACTAGTTTTTTTGTCAAGACATAACAAAAAGCTTTAAAAAGTCCTTCATACCTGCAGCTGACTCAAGCAGACCCACTGGTGTGTTGAGGGATGTTCATGCGTTTCAGCAGTATTTTGGCTTCTAGTTTTAGTGAACACTGCCAAATCAATATACATGCTGGCAGAGAATGCTAGATTTGGGTCTGGATGTAAGTTTCCTCAGAAGAACAGACAAACGCTAGAAAGCCTCCCAATTTTTCTCTGGTTTGGATTACAATCTCAGCCAGAGGCAAATTCTGAACAGTAAGCAAGCATTATGAAAAATCATGTTTCTCAAGAGAATTTGTGTTACTGCATCTTCTTGGGGTGATGGCTTCTACAGTTCTTATTACCACTGCAAAAGCCAAGACACACAACTTTAAAGGGAAGAAGAATGCAGCTGGAGGGATGATACATGGATGGAGGAGGTGACTCAGTGGATGGCTTCTGAAGCTGGATTGACACAGAACAGTAGGAGATTGTCCTGTATCCTACGGTAGAGTTATTCCAACTTCTCTACATTCTGGCTGTTGAAAGCCTCCACCATGTTTGGTTGAATGGCAGGAGATGTCAATGGCCACTAGAGATGGGAATGAATTTTAAAAAGAATCACCAAATCCATTCAAAAATTGCTAATTCATTGATTCATGTGCATACAAATCAATGCTCCCAACAACTATTAATCAATGGATTTTTAGCTTTTTTTTATTGATTCATTTGGCTATAAAATGGCCCCCAAAGCACCTAGACTCCAAAATTGCAGGGATACTTCCTCTGGCTCTCCTCTACAATCCAAGATCGGCGAAGATTAGATTTCCCTGACCTAGCTGCTAAAGGGCACTTTCTCATCTATTCATGTGCATACAAATCAATGCTCCCAACAACTATGAATCAATGGATTTTTAGCAATTTTTTTATTGATTCATTTGGCTATAAAATGGCCCCCAAAGCACCTAGACTCCAAAATTGCAGGGATGCTTCCTCTGGCACTCCCCTACAATCCAAGATTAGATTTCCCTGATCTAGCTGCTAAAGGGCACTTTCCTGGAAAGACCCACTTTGTGGGTATATAACTTGGATGTCTGAAACCCAATCTTCACCAAACTTGCAAGGATTATAGTCAGTAGAAGCATCTCTATAATTTTGGTATCTCCAGAGGCCAGTGGGGAACTTTCCAGGGGACCTCTCCTTGTAGGTGTACAGCTCGGACATCTTAAACCAAAACTTCTCTAAACTTGCAGGGCTTGTAGAGGAAAGTCAGGGGAAGCTTCTCAGTGACTTTTGTGTCTCTAGGTGCTTAGGGGGGCTTGTATAGGATTTTAAAATCAAAAACAAATTGATGAATCTATTTGTCAGAAGAAATTCAGAAATTTGTAATTCAGTGACCTTGATGGATCGCAAATCAAACCAAATCATCTTTTTTTCTGATTCATGCCCATCTCTAATTGCCACTCTTATAGATTTTATGACCCTACCTACTATGAAAAGGAAGTAGTAATGAGATATTTGGTGTTAATAATCCTCTTTGGACTTCTCTTCTTTTGAATAATTTTCTTCAACGAAGCCAACTGTGTGCACCTAGTCTAATGTGGGTTGAGATCATATTCTGGAATTAAGATTGCCCTGGAAGATAACTTTCACCAGGATTGCTATCCTGTTGGTTCTGCTGGAGTTTGATACTATTGGCTGTGTTATCCTTCCAGAGTGCCTATCTGACATAGAAACTCAGGGGCATAGCTCATCAGTACCACCACTATCATATGACTGTGGTTGTTACGTGCTGTCAAGTTGTCTTCGACCTACAGTGACCCTGTCTCCAAAATGTCTTGTCCTCAACTGTGTTTCTCAGCTCTTGTAAACTCAACCCTGTGACTTCCTTTAGAGAGTCGGTCCATCTCATATTTGGTGTTATGACTAGCAGATCCCAAAAGGATATATGGGGTACTCCTATGCAAACCCCTCGGCCTGTAATGTTCTAAGCAGCTTAACATTTCCATAAAATCACTTAAAGTCTCATTCTTGCAATGTGATATTGGTTTTAAGTAGGGACGTTCTTAAGTAGAGACCCCACTGTACTTCTTTTTCACATGCCTTTCACTCCTACACCCACCTCACATTCTACTGTACTGAAGTGAAAAAGAAACAGTCCTAGTAACTTGTTGCAGAGATTTTAGAGAGAAGCCAGAGGGGTTGTTGGTAAATAGAACAGTCAAACTAAGAATACAAATATGCCTTGTTCTGAATAGCTTACACTTGAAAGACCAGCTTAGTAGTGCTTTCAGTTTCACTTTTGCTGACAGATACTCAGGCATCCAGTACAGCTAGCATGAACTTTGAACAGCTTTGGCTCCTGCACTCACAACATCACTTCCTAGATAAAGTAGATCTGACCACAGTCAAGCATAATACTGGACTGTTACGTTGTTCTATGCCATCAAGTCAAAACCAACTTATAATGCTCCTAATAGGGCTACCAAAGTAAATGAGATATTTAAAGGGTTCCACAATCCCAATGGGTTTATGGCCAAGCAGGGATTTCAATCTAGACGAGTCCTAGTCCATCACTCTACCCATTGCATCACACCAGGTATTTAGTAATACTGGACTACCTGAACATATTCTTTTCAGGTTTGGCTTTAAAAGAGATTTGGAAAGATTAGCTGGTACAAATACAAATTTCTGAAGCTCATTTTGCAGATCATGTTACTCATGTTTTTAAATCTTGTGCCTCCAGTTCATTTCTGGTTCTTTCCCATAAAGCCACAGGGGATCTGGGATCAGGATTATTGGAAGGACCATCTCCTCCCATCTGATATTATTATTCTAACAAATGTGTTCAACATTAAAGGTCCTACTATTCACCTAATCATGTTCAGCAGAATTGGCTGGAACAAGAGGCAAGGTCTTCACTAGTGTGAAATTCACATTTGAAGAACAAAGGGGAATAAATCTCTGAAGTTTCAGGAGAAAAATATGTTCCACTGTGTTCAACAAGAAGACAAGCAGACATAAGATTTCAGTTTAGAAGATCCTTACAGTTTTATTTTGTCCGGTGTGTCGTGCAAACCATCAAAGTCATAATCAAAGATTGGTCCACTTATAACATTGACTCCATTCCGCTCAATAGCATATCTTTTCACCAAAACCCGCTGAAAGTAATTCCACACCTCTGTATAGGTTAGAAAAAAAATTAGGATTAGCCAAAAAGCAAACACAGAAGGCAACATGCATACATTGTTGGCAAACTCACTTCTCTTTGTATAATTTTTTATGTGGCCAAAAGGGGAATGTAACTAGCAGACATGGGGGACTCCAAAGGCTTGTATATTCATAACAACTGTCATCAACAATGACAATTAGATATAGATTAGAAAATATAATACATCTTATTTCACCATTTTCTAAAAAATAAAAATAGTTATCAGAAAATGCATATTAACCTATGCCTCTCTAAGTGTTTCATAGCCATGTGGTTAATATTTAGTCATTTTTATTGATGAACTGAAGTGTTTAACTATGCTACACTAATGTGATTATGCAAAATAAATATTAAAATCTTAGCTCCAAAATTATTCTGAAGTCATGCGGCATAATTAATATAATTTCTGGATTTACATTATGTGTTCTAAGGTAAACACGGTATTAAAAATGAGGAAATTAATCCCATACCTTTCAAGGGGAATAAAATATCCAAGCTAAACAAAGGACAGGTTTCTTATAATTTTTCCCAAAGAGGAAAAAAAGGTTCCCCTATTTTTTTCTTTCATTTTCCTGTGTTGAGTCAGGCCATAGACAAAGGAAATACACAGTGCCACTCTGAAGCTGGCATTGCTCTGGATACTGCACAGACATCCAATTGTTCTCTCACTACATGGCTTCCTCTTTTGTCATTTTCCACAAGGCCTAATGCATGCAAGAAAGTAACCATTTCCACAAATGGCAGTACCCTGAGACTGCACTTTTATATCATCCTAACTAGATGGACTATGGCATTTGTTGTATCCTATTCATTTTTGAAGGAGTTTAATAAGTCATAAATTTAATAACCCACATAGGGTCAAATCTATTTTTTCTAGAAAATGAGTGTTGACACAACTATTTAATAGAATACCACGTTAATGACTTAGTATTCTTTGCTTATTATGACATAAACATGGCTTCAGGGACCTTGGCCCTCTAGATATTGTTGGACTACAATCTCCATGATTCCTTTCTACTGATCGAAGTGGTTGGGGCTGATGGAATATGGTGTCCAACATCAAGGGAGACCTATTCTCCATACTTGTGGTAAACAAAACAAAACAAACCACACAAGGCACTTGGGAAATATGGTGGCAAGGCACTCTAGCCGCCAAGAGTGGACAAGTCGCCCAGATAGGCGGGGTATAAATCAAATCAAATCAAATCAATCAATCAATCAATCAATCAATCAATCAATCAATCAATCAATCAATCAATCAATCAATCAATCAATCAATCAATCAATCAATCAATCAATCAATCAATCAATCAATCAATCAATCAATCAATCAGTCAATCAATCAATCAATCAATAATACGGCCTATGAGCAACCTGGTGGGAATGTGTTTTACATTCATCTTACAAACACGGGGGATTCAGAAGCTAGATTTCACAAAAGCATATCATAAAAATGTTAGGGTGCTTACTTTTGAAGGCAGGATACATTGGAACCACGTTTGTTATGAGGAAAGCATCATATTTTGCCTCTGCTGAGGAACTGAGTTCTGAAAATGAAAAATAAAAGGAGTCTATAGCTTAGGGGCTATGCTTTCAGAAGCCGAAAGGTAAATATGTACTGAAGGAAAGGTAAACACTTTAATAGGACCCAATTGTCCCCAAAGAAAGGCCAGGCAAAGAAGGAAAGCAAGCTAACCCAAAAAAAGGCAAGGTAGCCTTAGCATTACGTAATCTGAAATACTGCTAGATTTGACAGGCAGATTTTTTAAAAAAAGATTGTTTGGATGACAAAGTACAGGCTCTCACTTAAAGGAGATTATCTTTCTGTAATGACATTTGTTGTTGTTTAGTCGTTTCCGACTCTTCGTGACCCCATGGACCAGAGCACGCTAGGCCCTCCTGTCTTCCACTGCCTCCCAGAGTTGGGTCAAATTCCTGTTGGTCACTTCAATGACACTGTCCAACCATCTCATCCTCTGTCGTCCCCTTCTCCTCCTGCCTTCACACTTCCCCAACATCAGGGTCTTTTCCAGGGAGTCTTCTCTTCTCATGAGATGGCCAAAGTATTGGAGCCTCAGCTTCAGGATCTGTCCTTCCAGTGAGCACTCAGGCTTGATTTCCTTCAAAATGGATAGGTTTGTTCTCCTTCCAGTCCAGGGGACTCTCAAGAGCTTCCTCCCGCACCACAATTCAAAATCATCAATTCCTCGGCGGTCAGCTTTCTTTATGGTCCAGCTCTCACTTCCGTATATCACTACAGGAAAAACTATAGCTTTGACTATTCGGACTTTTGTTGGCAAGGTGATGTCTCTGCTTTTTAAGATGCTGTCGAGGTTTGTCATTGCTTTCCTCCCAAGAAGCAGGCGTCTTTTAATTTCGTGGCTGCTGTCACCATCTGCTTTGGTCATGAGCCCAACTAAAGACATCACTGACAACTTCTCTGTGAGACATGCCTCCAGCTACACACTTAAATCGACAGGTACTCATACATGCCAGAAAATATTTTTTTAAAAAAGGGACGCTAGCTGTATCAGTTCAAAATAAACAAAAAACACACATTTCTCACACTGAATTGCAGCTCAAATTTCAAAACTGTATGTATACCAATAGATTTGGAAAATATACATAACACTAGTGCTTGTAAGCTTACGTGGTGGAAAAAGGAATCCATAAGACATTTGTCTGTCCACTCTGTAGGCTGTACAACTCTGACTATTGCTTGGAGAAACACGCAGGTCAGGCCTTACACAGTTAGCCAACTGTTCTGGGACACCAGACACCTCTGCCTGCATTGAAAGAAGAAATTAAATACCTTTCCATTATTCTTCAGATAAACAACAATCCACATGCATTGCCTAAGATAACGTAAAGGCCCCCGCGAGAGCTTAATATTTCGTGAAAGATCATTAGCAGATCTAGCAAAGTTTTTTAAAAATGATAAATCTCAAGAAACCAAAATTCCTATGGATGGATCAGGTTTTTCAGACTACTTTCCATGAAGTAGAGAAAGGAGAGAATAATAATAAATTGTAAGAAATTTTGCAGACTACAAAATCCTATGATTTATTTTGCATAATATATGAAACAAACATGTTGAATTCCGTTACAAAAACTGAGTTACTGAAACATGCCTATAATGTTGGCAGTGCAACAGTCACGACTGCTTGCAAATGCACTCTTCCACTCTTTCCATTACTTACACCTTTTATCAGGCATAGAGCTGAACTACATATTAACTATGCTACTAAGTTGGGGGAGGGACACTTATGGGGACTTCAACATACACCACCTGCTGCCGTCTTCTTCTGGTAACTTGTGGATATTCATGTATTTTTAATCCTGCACTCAAAGCTAGAAGTACAAAGCCAAGATTACACCAAGTTTCACCCTAGAATTTAGTGACACTTTAAAGGGTAATTCTCACTTTGCTTTGTACCTGGATATGACATATCAGAGTACACAGATATCTAAATAATCACAAAATGGTCAAAATGGCCATCTACTTTTGCATGTTGTTACAGTGGACAGAAGCTTTTAAGAATCCTATAGATAGGGCAGAAAAGCAACTGCTTTCTCTTGATGTCAGCCCTAACAACTGGTGTTCAGTGGTATATGGTGGCTCCATAAGACAATCATGACTAAGTAACTGAGCACTGCACAAAGCAGAACTCTTCACAACATCCTCAAGAAAAAAGGGTTCAGGCTTTTTCAGCTTTGTTCACAAGATACAAGAGGTGATCAGGTAGCATGGCAAAGTGTCTGTGCATGAACACACAATCTTCAGAACTGATGAGATGCTTGTGTATTCCATGTTTGAATGCACAGAGACTGAGAAAGTTACTTTTTTTGGACTACAACTCCCAGAATTTTCCAGTTCTGGGGGCGATCCTGTCTGGAGGATTCTGGGAGCTGATGTTTTTGATGTCCAAAAAAAGTCAACTTTTACAAATTCCCCCAAATTTAAGAGACAACAAGCTCTTAGAACAGCGCTGCATCCGCAAGGCAAATATTCCTTTCGCAGTTGTCTTTATACTTCTTTTCCTCACCCTGTTCCTTTCTTTCTCAAAGCGTAACTTTAAAGCTATTCATGATGGGGTCTGACTTTGATTTTTGTATCATTCAAGAAAATGCACCCAACAAAGATAGCTCTAAACAAATTAACTGTACTAAATAAATCTCTCTTAAATGATCATTTGCTCACTTGGAAGCTATGTCTTTATGACTTGGCAGTGGCAAAAAGCTGCACAAATTGCAAACAGAACACTGTACATAAAAAGCACTCTTGCTGTGAGCCTCAAGATGTTCTGTCATTCTTTAGAGGAAATAATTATTAAGGGGAAACAAAGGAAGAAACAGAGCCATGTGGTCCATGAGCTAAAATAAAAGTTGAGCACTGGACCACTGAAGGATATTTAAGGCAAGCTTTTGAGTCCTCCAAGACTTTTAATCAGACTGGGCAGTGCAGCTTTTGGAAGTTGGGGAAAAAAACAAAGGCCTTAAAGCCTCCTGGGTAGATAGTGAAACCACAGCATTTGAAGCTAAACTAAAATTTCAAAAAGGAGACTGCACACATGAACAGCATGAAGTGTGGTATCGGGTTTCACCCCAGGATGTAGACTCAACACCCTCTTTCCCTCTTTATAGACAAAGGGCTGACAGTCATTCAGTGTGCTCTCTATTGCCTTAAGGGGAGTCTCCAGCAGTAATTAGGGCATCAGATGGAACCGGATGCATTTTGTCTTATTTTTTTTCTTTGCTAAGATCAGTCCATGTCTTCTCTATCCTCCTACCCTTCCACCCACACAGGGTTTCAGGCAAACTTAGTGACCTGCTTCGAAACTGTATAGGACGTCCAGAGAGGCATCAGGAATGTTTCACTATAGCCACTTTCAAAGTCATGGTGATGCAAGATGCTGTATTTTGTACGATAAAGAACAGCAGGACGACCATAAAGGAGATGTTTATCTGCAAATTAAAAAAGATAAGTCACAGAACAAAGCAATCAAACACATATACTTATAAAAGATAGATAGATAGATAGATAGATAGATAGATAGATAGATAGATAGATAGATAGATAGATAGATAGATAGATAGATAGATAGATAGATAGATAGATAGATAGATAGATAGATAGATAGATAGACAGACAGATTAGATATAGATAGATTAGATATAGATATAGATACAGATACAGATATAGATATAGATATAGATATAGATATATAGTGGTCGTTTAGTCATGTCCGACTCTTCGTGACCCCATGGACCAGAGCATGCTAGGCCCTCCTATCTTCCACTGCCTCTCATAGTTGTGTCAAATTCATGTGTATATATATACACAGTCGTGCCCCGCTTTACAATTGCCCCATGTTATGATGAAACCGCTTAACGATGACATTTTTGACAAAAAGGATGGTCTGAATAGGGATTTTTTGCTTTGTGATTATCTGTTCCCTGCTTCGGGAACCGATTCTTCGCAAAACGACGATTTTCCTACAGCTGATTGGTGGTTTCAAAATGGCCGCTGGGTAAATAAAATGGCTCCCCGCTGTTTTCTGGGATGGATTCCTCGCTGCATAGGCACTGAAAATGGCCGCCCTATGGCGGATCTTTGCTGGGCAGTGACCCGAGCAGGGGCGCCTCTCCCGCCCGCCGGGCCCCCCAAGAGCCGCCGCCGGGGACCAGGAGGCGGCGGC